TGCATGCATGCATGCATGCATGCATGCATGCATGCAGGTGAAGCGCCGGGAATGTCTGTGTCTGCTGAGGCGGCTTGGGGCTTCCGCCTGCTGTCTGTGTTTGTTGCTGCGCCATTGTCTCTTTTCGGTAGCGTTATTGTTGCAGCAGCTGCTGCAGCAGAAGCAGCTGCAGCAGCAGCAGCTGCAGCAGCAGCTGCTGCTCGCAGCAGCTATGTAGTTTGTCACGCATGCAAATATTGAGGGACCAAACAACTGGTAACTGTTTAAAATTTAAGAGGAAGCGAAATACTCAGCAGGAACGTTGCGGTGTACATACACCTCAACCAGGTCTGCTGCTGCTGCTGCTGCTGCTGCTGGGAGTTACCGGCAGGTTAGCAGCAGCAGCAGCTGCTGCTGCTGCAGCAGTTGTCACGCACACATACCCCAGACAGAGCAGCAGCAGCAGCAGCAGCAGCAGAGTAGAAGCAACAGCAGGTCTTCTAACTTCTCGTTCTCACACTTTCTCTAGTTGCTGCCGCTGCTGCTGCTGCTGCAGTACCACAGCAATACCCTCTGCTGCTGCTGCTGCTGCTGCTGCTGCTGCTGCTGCTGCTGCTGCTGCTTAGAGCAAGGAACTCCTTGCTGCTGCTGCATGCGGGAGGTCTAGGGCCGCGAGAGCCAAGTCACAGTCTCTCTGAATAGCGGCGATGAGATGAGCTGAAAGACAAAGACACAGCAACACACAGCTGGGGTGTATGTACACCTCAACTCCCCTATAGAAGCAGCAAACAGCAGCAGCAGCAGCAGCAGTGGCTGCAGCATACGAGCCAGTGTATCTTTCAGCAGTGCATGCGGTGATGTGGAGACACCAGGGAGAGAAAGGAGACAGGAGACAGAAGAGACGAAACAAAAAAAAAAACAAAAAAAAAAAGANAGGGAGAGAAAGGAGACAGGAGACAGAAGAGACGAAACAAAAAAAAAAACAAAAAAAAAAAGATAAAGACAGACAACGGAGACAGAAAAAAAAATAGAAAGACAGCAGACACAGACGGCAGCAAACAAAAAAAGAAAAGGAGACGCAACAACAAGAAGAAAAAGAAAAACAAAAGCACCAAAAACAAAAATAAAAACAAAAATAAAAACAAAAATA